CTAAGGTGAGCCTGGTGGTGCCAAGGACCCTCCCCGGCACCCCACACCCTGGCCCGGCCTCACCACTGCTCTCGGCGTTGCAGGTCTTCCTCTGCCCTCCCAGCCTGGCCCGCAAGCGGACGTGGAACAAGAAATACCCCATCTGCATCCTCCTCCCCGAGCCGGCGGAGCTGGAGTGCAGGAGCAGCGAGGAGCATGACGTGGAGCTGCAGAGGGATGGAGGGATGAAGAAGGCACCGGTGCCGGGGCAGGACATCCCGGGGGACTGCAGGGAGAGGTGCCTCTACCTCTTCGGGCGGACGGGGAGGGAGAAGGAGGAGTGGTACCAGCACCTCGTGCAAGCCTCCCGCGGGACACCCAGCAGCAGCCGTGGCGAAGGCAGGGCAGGTGCATCACGGCCTCTGCTCTGTGCCAGGAGTGATCCGGGGTGGGAGCTCCACGTGTGCCGGGAGGACAAACCCTTGGTAGGCAGCAGTGAGTATGGGGGGAGATGAGGGAGCCCAGGGCATAGCCAAGAGCATTTGCAGCAGCTGGGAGAGCCTAGAGGATCCCCCCTCGCCACCACAGGGCGGGGGGCCTGTCACTGGCATCACAGATGGAGAGCGTGTCACCGCACGTGCATCGCAGCACGTCACCACGCGTGCATCACAGCCAGGCAGCATGTCACCTCTCATGCTATCCTGACCCGCTCGTGTCCCCGTGTCCCCAGGCGTGGGACCAGTTCCACAGAGCAGCGGCAGCAGCAGCGGGGGGAGCAACGAGGACATCCCCTCCACTGTCCCAGCCAAGGACCTGACGGGAAGCATCCAACAGATTTTCCTGGATTACAGCACCTACATGGCCCGATTTGTGCCAGTGCAGGTCGGGGGGAGCCCAGACCAGAGCCCCTCTCATGGAGCACTGGGCAGCCCCACGTCCACAAAGGTGAGTGGGACAAACCCAGTGCCAGGATCGGGACACAAGCGCGAAGTGGAGGCTGATGGACGCTGTGTGCAGCCACTTCCAGTCCTGTGGTTCACCTCCTCCGTCCTGGCACCGCGGCTTGAGCAGCCAAGCCATGGTGCAGGGGAGCACAGGGCCAGTGGGTCCCATCGCTCATGGGGCCACATCGCTCCAAGGGCTCATGGCTTCTGTCCCTCCGCAGCTCGGCGAGGACACGGCCAGGCGCAGCGAGGCATGCATGGCCTGGATGAACGCGCTGGTGGGGCGCATCTTCTGGGACTTCCTCCGGGAGCGATACTGGGCTGAGCAAGTGTCCAGCAAGATCCAGAAGAAGCTGAGCAAGATCAAGGTGAGAGCTTCACAGCACCCAGGGGAGCCCCGTCCCCAAGGCCCCACGGCAGGTACCAGGCTGCAGTGACCGTCCCCATGTGGTTTCTCTCCATCAGCTCCCATATTTCATGAACGAGCTGACGCTGACAGAGCTGGACATGGGCACATCCATCCCCTTGGTCCTCAGCGCCTCTAACCCCACCATCAATGACCGAGGTAAGAGCCCTGCAGAGCAGCAGGAACCCCAGGGCTGGCTCCACTGCAGCTGTTATCGAGCTGCCAGCCCGGTCCCCGAAGCAGGGAGGTTTTGGCAGGCACACGAGCAGCCCTCGGCCCCTGCGGTGCTGACAGAGGCTCGCCCCGTCCTTCTCCCCGGCAGGGCTCTGGGTGGACATGGAGGTTGCCTACAGCGGTTCATTGCAGATGACGCTCGAGACGAAGATGAACCTCTGCAAGCTGGGGAAGGAGAGTGCTGCAGAGGAGAGCGGTCCAGCAGAGGCAGGTGGCGAGGGGTAAGGAGACTGCATGGCTGGGTTTCATCATCCTCCTCCTCCTCCTCTCGCCTGAGCAAGGCGAGAGGGTGCTGGTCACAGGGCACACCCACGATGCTCCTCGGGTCTCGCAGGGCCAGGCCACGGCTGATCTTGCTGGCAGACAGCGACGCGGAGTCATCCAGCGCTGGCTCCTCCGATGAGGAAGATGTCACCACTGCAGAGCCCACAGGAGCGCTGGGGGAGTGGGTCCCGCTGCCTGGCACTGAGGGGTAAGGGGCTGTTTGGGGTCTGCGCCATGGGGTGTATGGGGAGATGTGGGGGGAGGCACGGTGCTGCGCCACGACAGGGGCTTGGGGCTGGTTTCCCCGGGAAGGCACACACAGGCACCCCGGCACATCACGGCAGCCCTTCACAGGGGACTCCTGTCCCTGAGGGCTGCTGTGGGCGGGGGCCCGGCGGGCGCCACACTCCGGGTCTCATCCTGCTGCTGAGCTGTGACTCCCCTCACTTTAGCCACGTCAGCGGCAACAGCACGAGCCGGAAGATCCTGCGCTTTGTGGATAAGATCGCCAAGTCCAAGTACTTCCAGAAAGCCACTGAAAACGAGTTCATCAAAAAGAAGATTGAGGAGGTTTCCAACACGCCGCTGTTGCTGACGGTGGAGGTGCAGGAGCTGGCAGGCACCTTGGCCGTGAACATCCCCCCGCCGCCGACAGACCGTGTCTGGTACCAGCTCTTCTTCCTCCCGTGCAGGGACCCACGTGCATCCTCCTTCCAGCTCCCCTTGTTCCCTGACGCTCAGCCAAGAAGCCAGCTCTGGGGGACATGATGCTTTCTGCCTCTTTCCCCTCGCAGGTACAGCTTCCGAGTCCCACCCCAGCTGGAGCTGAAGGTGCGCCCGAAGCTGGGCGAGCGGGAGGTGACGTTCCTCCATGTCACCGAATGGATCGAGAAGAAGCTGCAGCACGAATTTCAGGTGCCTGGTCTGTTAAAGGGCTCAGCAAACCCTGCTGAAGCATGGGCATTGCTGCTGCGATGAGGGACAATCAGACCTCAGTTTGGACCAGGGTTATCTCTACAAAAAGTCAACGTCTGATCTGGTCTGTCCAGCTTTGGACAGTCAAGAAACACAACCTAAGTAACCAGCTCCCAGGGCTGGTGCTCTGAGCACAAGTGCTTGAGGAAAAGTGTTTTCCTCCCAGCATGTGCAGCCCTGCCCAAAGCAGGGAGGGATCAGGAGAGTTGGCCAGTCCCAGGCAGACACTCCCAGCAGGGCCGAATTCACCCATCCACTCTGGTTTTGGGGTGTTTGGGAGATTTACCATCACAAGGTACCCACTGGTTTGTTCTCAGCCTCCCACCTTTGAGCTCTCTGGTCAAAGAGCAGAAATGTCCCCACAGATATTTAGGTACCCAAATCCCCACAAAGAGCTGCCCATTTGAATGGCTTCAAAGTGCTGGTCCCTGCCACACAGGTGGGCTGGGCAAAGAAAAACTGCTCCTGCTTGTCCCCACCCCGAGGTATCCAGAGCTGGTAATCCTCGGGGGCCAGGCACAGTCAGCTGCTGATGAGGGGATGGGAGTGCAGGACCTTCTGTTCACAGCCCCGGTCTCTGATCCGAGTGTGGCTCCTGCCAAGGCCACTTCCAGGCCAATGTGTCAGCAGCCAGGTAGCAGTATTCAAAACCACTGACCTGTTATTCTGGATTCCTCTTTTCAGAAAATTTTGGTGATGCCAAACATGGACGATCTCATCATCCCCATCATGCGCTCTGGCCTGGATCCTCAGCCACCCACAGGGACACTGCCCGGGGACCTACCAGCCAAGGGAGAGAAGAGGCTCTGAAGCGCAGCCCCACGGGCAGGGCAGTGACGCTGCACAGAGCTCAGGGATCTCGCTGGGACACGGGGCCAGCCAGGGCCTGGACACTGACTCCATCCAGGGCTATGCCCTGGGGGCTGAGCTTCTCGGTTCATCTCATCCTCAGCATTTTTGTAGATGAGCCTCCTCCTTAAATACTGCAAGCACGTGTTCAGAGCAGAACCAGACACAGGGCAAGGGGTTTGCTGGAGACCCAAGAACTTCATGCACTTCCTACCAGGTTCCCAGGACTCCTGGTCAAGGGGGCAGCTCTGGACCAGCAGAAGGCTGGGCTTTCCACTGTCTGGTTCCCAAAGAGGGTGCAGGACGCCCAGACCGGTTCTGCACTGAAGGAGTTGTGATCACTGCTGATTCAAGACATCACAGCTCCAAGACACATCACACCCTCCCCACAGGCAGCTGGACTGCAAGGAAAACATGGGTGGGAAATGAGTCCCAAATCCGAATAAATCCATCACTGCTCAGTCTTACCTAGCAGCCACCTTATTGTACACAAGTTCCCACATCCGCTGAGGATGCCAGCCGGGATTGTGGGGCTTTGTGCAGAGCAAAGTCCACAGGTCATGCTTTCAGCTCAGCAAAAGGAGTGCCTGGGTGTGTGTGTGAGAAGCAGCGAGGGGAGAGTGGGCAGAGGCAGGTAATGGGGAGACCCTGGATTCCCAGCAGAAACTGGGGCAGAAGTGCTGCTCTGCTCTCTTCTGGAAGAGAGGAAGGAGAGTCTTCACCATGGTTTGGGTGAATGCAGGCAGTGGGAAAAAATTCACTGAGCAAGGGAAAGGGAGGACCCAGAGGACAGAGCAGACACTTGGCTGTCCCACTTAGTCCCTGTCCATATGGGCCAGCACCAAGTGCTACTTGTCCCATCCTCACCTGCTCAGGAGCCTCAAGGACACACGGCTGCCCACAGGCAGCACTGAATACAGGCAAGACAGCCCTCCAGAAGGAAGACAGGCAGCAGGCATGGCTTGAAGCCTTTTTATTGAAGGTGCCCAGTTAGGTAGCCTCGCAAATCTCAGTCCTTACGGCTCTTCCTGCACTCCTGGCTTCTCTTTCACCAAGTGTTTCTTCTGAGGACCCTGGAAGAGAGCAGAGAGGAGAACTCTCGGTGTCAGTGGCAGACAAACCTGGCCTACAAGGCTGCATCTGAGCTGCGTGAGGCAGAACTGCAGCTCTGGCCCCTTTCTGCTGTGCAAGGCTGCTCCCGGTCTGGACTCCCCAGCTGGGAGCTCTGTGCCACCATTCACCAGCCACCCCCAGGGCCTCCCTAGCCCTGCAGGAATCGGGAGTGGAACATTGTCACCCTTGCACAAAGGGTTTGTTTCTCTGGACAGCACAAAAGCAGCCAGAGAGCGGCGATGGGTGACCTGCTCTGAGCCAGGCGGGTTGGGCTGCAGCCAGGGGACATGGAGGGGAGCAGTAATTGTGCCGATGAAGGCTACCAGGAGGCCACCGTAGTGGAGCGGCTGCTGAGCTGCTGGATGAGCCCTGGAGGAGATGAGGCCTTTCCCACAGCCAAAGGCACAGATTCTCATCAGCCAACTCAAAAGAGCCTGAGGGGTTTCCACCAGCTAAGAAATGGCCTTGTCCCAGACCAAATAAATCCTATGGGAGCAGATGGCAAGAATTACATATGGGCCTCTACTTCCAGCCAAATGTAAAGTCTTACCACTGTAAACATGGGGGAAATTCTCACCCCATAGTAGAAAATGGCAAAGAAAACAGCTGCAACCAGGTAAAACCACCTCCTGTCACTAAGATCCACGTCACAGCTACTCAGGACTTGCAGTGACAGCAAGAGCAGAACACAGAACAAGCTCCTAACACTGAGATAAAAGAAATCAGCTTAACCTCTAAAGAGCTCTGCAAAGGCACTGTGTAGCCAATCCCCCTGCCCAGGGCTAAGGAGGCTTAGCCAGCTTCACATGGCTTTTCTAGCTGACAGGCCAGATCCAGACACAGCTTACAGCTGCGTGGTATCCAGGCAGTTGTTTCTTTCATTTCTGCTAGCTGAAGGCCTGGCTTACTTAACGCTTCCTCAATTTCACATTCAGACTTATGCGCCAGCCTGGTGTAGGTTGCAAAACTATTCAAGAAACTCTGCTTGTTTTGGATTTATTTAAATTTTTTTTTGCCCTGGATTTAAGAAAAATATACTGCTTGGCCTTTCTGAAAGCTTCCTGACAAAAGAATCACAAATTTGTGTCTGAATTTGACCCAACGTTTTCCTCTTAAGTACATTAAAGTTATAAATCATTCCAAACAAATCAAAGAAGTGCACAATTACGGGTGAAAGGGACCATATGTCCAACACAGTGCCTGCCAAGTTAACTGCTTGTTTAAAACATCCCATGGTGAATGGAAACTGGTTGGCCATATGGTAGATTATTTGCTAGTTGGGTTGTCTTGGATCACTCACACAACCATCATGTTCTTCCTTAGCATAATATCTGCTGTGCGAATTAAATTCATGCCTGTCTTTTATGCAAGTCGGTCCCGATCACTCATTTGGCTGCTGTTATATCGAGAAGCAGATTCTTGGTTGGAGCCAATCGATTGCTTTGGCCCCAGCTGCGAGCATGGCCCAGGAGCTGGAGTCGGTGGAGAGCATAACTCACCATGAAAGCCCGCTTCTCCTGAGCTGTCTGGAAGCAGCCATGGCCAAACTTGGAAGTAGTATCAATGAATTTGAGTTCAATGGCTTCCTGAGCTCGGCGGCTTGTATGTACCAGAAGGGACTGGAAAAGAAGAGTCACAATGCGTCAGACTTATCGTTACAGAAAATCCGGACATCTGCTCTGATGGAAGCAGGGTTGAAATAGCCTAGGTGCATCCATTAGACAAATACCACCACGAAAATCTGTCTTCTCGGAGAAACACCCCAGTGCTCGGGTGGCAGGTGATGCCTTGGATTGCAGAGCAGCTCTGAAATGAGCCTGCTCTTCACTTAGCATTTCATTTCCTCACAATCTGCTTATGGCGAAGGTTCCCATTTCTGGGCCTTGCATCACAGCTCTCAAAGCCTTGCAGCTTCTGTCTCCAAAGAGAGTACATCCGACTGCACACTGCCACAAACCATCTACCTGCGAACAGTCTCACTGAGCACCACGCTCACGTGCCACATGCCCTCTGCACCACAGTGCCAAGGACCCCACCAGCCTCCCGACCCAGCATTCGGATGCAGCAGCATTCTCCACATGGTGAATCTGTCCATGGAGAGCTACAGACCATCATTCCCCAGCGCCGGCTGCGCTCTCACCTTACGGAGGGTGAGCACACGCTTCTTCGTGCCCATGACGCAGCCTTTCAGCATGAGGAAGTCATTGTTGACCTCCCCGTAGTGAGGAAAGCCACCCTGTGGGGAGAGGCAGAGAAAGGGCTGGCAGGCAGGAGAGCTGGATGGGAGCAGCTATGTTCACAGGTGGCATTTTCCAGGGAAGGAGAAGGTAGCGACTGACAGTCCTTCAGGCTAACAACACTCTGCACCCTTCAGGTTGCCTGCTCAGGACCATCAGAGCATGTCAGCCACACTGACTGCATGATCCCAGCTAAGGAGCTGGGGAACCAGTAAACCTGCTTCCTTCTCTGGAGGATGTGGGTGAACAGAGAGCAGAGCTGGCTAGACTCCCGAGTTAACAGGTTTTAATAAGGAGAAGTGAAGTTTTAAACTAAGCAACAAATATTTATCTGTTAACATCAGATTTTTAATGTAATTTATACTTCTTTTTCTTTTTAAACAAAGTTCTCGGTTCCTGCCCAAGTTATCAGCTGAAAGTTAAATGTTTGGGTCTAACAATGGGCCTAAAAAAAACCACCTCACAGAGATGGTTTTCCATGTCCAAAACATGAGGAAAGGAATCACTGCATTTCCTTCAGTGAATTTCCTTCAAATCATTTCCTATGCAGCTGTCTCCAGCCAAGGAATTAATTCCCTGGCTCAGATTCCTGCAGCCAGAGCTAGTCAAAGTCCTGTTACCCCCTCAACCCTTACCAGAGGTGTAATGCTCTTCTCCGTGACATCGTAGTGCGTCGAGGCGTTGTTCTTCACCACTTTGCCATCCTCCACGTGGATCCCACGGCCAATGCGGTAAATCTAGGAACGGAAAAGAAATGGAGTTGGCGACTTTCCTGCCCCCTCACTGAGGGATGTCACAGGGGTGATGCAGATTTCACCAGTGTCGCCTGTGATGTGTCCCTTGAGCAGGGAAAAAGCACTGGGAAAGACATGGAGAACAACAGCACTGCAGATCCCTAGGGAAACATCTGAGAAGCTGGGGGACACAGAGGCCACTGTGCAAAGAAGGATGGTGACAGCATGGGAGGAAAGAAGGCAGGAAGGCGCAGTGGTGCTCTTGAGGGAACCCATCTGGGCCGTACCTTCTTGTTGAGCTCCGTGCGGTGGTGGTAGCCCTTCTGGCCAGCCCGAGCAATGGAGTAGCCAACTCGGGCCGGGTGCCAGGCTCCAATGCAGGCAACTTTGCGCAAGCCCTTATGTGTCTTCCTGGGGAGCTTCTTGGTGTGCCAACGGCTTGTCACCCCTGGAAGTGTGACCGGACAGGGTGGTGAGAACACCGGGGAGATTCAGGGCTGCTGTCTGAGTGCTGGGGAGGGGAGAGTCTCATCATTCTTCCGCAGCTCTCAGAAGACACCATGTTGGAAGGAGACCAAGAGCTGTCACCACCGTGAGAGGCCAGAGCACAGAACTGTTCTCACTTCCCATGGATCTGATCAGACTGTGATATGTTCCTGATGAGCACATCCAAAAAACCCACACCTCCACACACGTGGGGTTTGTGAAAAGTGCAATGGCTTTACGTACTCACAGTGCCTCTGAGCCTCCTGGGAGGACTCTGGGCACAGCAGACAACACGGCCTTTACTGAGATTAAAGAAACCAAGCTCGCTACAGTGGAACTGCATGTCATGGTTGAGGTCCAGAGGCTCTTTGCTACTCCCTGTACAGTAAGT